AGTAATATTCTCTGGACTCTCTAGATCAATAATTATCAAAAAAAAATAAAAATTGAATTTTGTCCTTTAGTTAGCTATAACAGGTTAATTTAGAAAAGGGGTGTGGCCAAATAAACCCAAAAGCCTATAAAACCTAAACAAAAACTCGAAACTTTGTGAAAACATGTGTCAGATGACTCTTAACAAGCTTGCAAAGTTTCATGGAGATCGGACCATAGGTGGCGCTAATAAGAGTTAAAAAGGCCTCCATAAACAATATTTCTATAGAAAATGACCTCAAATTGCAGAACATGTTCATATATTCACACACACACACACACTGGAAACATGTGTCAGATCACTCTTAACAAGCATGCAAAGTTTCATGGATATCGGACCATAGGTGGGGCTATAACAGTAAAAAAAGTATTCAAAAACACAATATTTCTATAGTAAATGACCTCAAATTGCAATAAAATGTTCATATATTCACTTATACAATATATCTTCATATCATATGATAGATCTCCTCATTTTGAACAACTTTGCCTCTAGGATCACTGCAGTCAATAAAACTGTTCTTTAAGTATTTAAAAAAATTTTTTTTTTTATTACTTTTGTTAACTAGTCCTAGGGTTTTAACTCAAAATCAATAAAATCAGTGCAGTACTATTCTCTAGACTCTCTAGGTCAATAATTATCAAAAAAATGTTGAACATTTGTATGTGGACAACATTAAATCAGTAATTTTATAATATGTTCTTTACATAGTGTACCCAAAGGCCTATAAATCGTAAAAGAAAGCTCACAACTTCTCAAACTGTGTAAAATGATGCATAATTTCATTCTAAACAAGCATGCAAAATTTAAGAGAGATTGGGCAAAAAAATAACACTATAATAGTTATAAAGGTTAAACATAGTGTTGTATGAGAAATTGCATTTATAACCACTAGATGGCAGCGGAAGACGATTAATGGGCTCATTCAACTCACTCAAACAGCACTGTTCATAGGTTTGATGAATTCATGCTTAGACATTATAAAATCACTTTTATAACATTTAAAATAACATTTAGTCAAAGTTTACCATTTTGTTCATACAGACATAGTTTTTACAATTATGCCAGATTTTGATTACAGTGAAACCTGAAAATGACATATAAACTCTTAAAAAGAGAAGACTTGCAATAAGTATTGTCACATATAATTTATTTCAAATATCTATATCTGCAACAAAATGTGTGTGCATGTATGTCTGTGTATGTGTGTGTCTCTCTCTGTGTGTAAGCATGCTTATTGAGTATTAATATAATATTTTAACCATTTCATTTTTGTGTGTATGTGTCTGTGAGCCTGTTCTCCATTTTGGATGTCTTTTACTGTCAGCCATACATCTAGGTTGGCCTAGACCCTAAAAGCATACCACCTTAAAGGCCTTAATGTGCTTGAACCCCGGTAATTGCTGCTTGCAGCTATATTTATTATTATTAATATTATTATTATTTCTTAACACTTTTTTTCAAAGATAGTTACCTTTCCCTAGGCATAAGACAAGAGCAACTGTTTGTCTGTTTGCATGCTTTATATTACGCACGCACACACACACACACACACACACACACACACTCAGATCAGAAATAATGAATTGTAAAATAAATCAAAGGTGCAGTGGAAGGCCTAGTTGATAAAATCCTCAGACAATTGAATGATAAATGTGTGGTCCCATGCCTCGTTGTGCTACAGGTTGCCTGGAGGTTATTACTGTGTACTTTATCCAGTTCTGTCCATTCATCACCTGGGCACACTGGCGGTCATGCTTACAGACAGAAAAGAGAGAGAGAGAGACTGTAGTCCTAGCTGACTTGTTGAGCACTGGAGTTTATTTGTATACAGTAGGATTGCCCTAGCTCATTTTTTCAACATAATCATGGCAAGATCTTAAAACTTTAAATAATGGTAATATTTTCCATGACAGAATGCTTTCTTCTATTGCAGCTCATAAGACATCCATTCATTGGTCATTTCTCCAGAGCACTGTAACTATGATGCACTTTGAAAACAATGCTCTGTTTGTTTGAGCAACCAGGGGGGTATTCCAGACGGCAATTTATGTGACATACCCGGGTATATTTAAGGGTAAGTAAGCAGATAAACTCAGCATTCGGTTCCAAAAATGGAGGTAACTTTCAGGGTAAGTAGCCATAGCAACTTACTCTCTGAACATAACCTGCTCCGGAATAGGTTCTGTTTCAGGGTTAGTTTACTTCAGAGCTATCAGCGCATGCATGACCTATTGACGAGACTCCAGTGGGCATGACAGATTACACACAATATATATATATATATATATATATATATATATATATAACACTATTATAAGTAATATACAGTATTAGGTAATATTTAATTTGTATTGATACTGTAAATGCGGGGCCATGCTTTTGTATGACCAATGGCAGAAGTTCAGTTTGGGAAACCTGTCTGAAAACATTCATTATTTTTGCAATTTCATTTGGCAATGCCAGTTGTACAGAAATCACACACTTCACATTTTAACCCCTTCGGACCTGATTTTTTTCTGCTGAGCAAAAAAAAATGTTCCCAGTTGATTTTTACTCCCTTCCAGCATAGAAATAAAGGGGAAAAAAAAACATTTTTGATAACTCATGTTTTTATTGGTATTTTTTCATGTCCATTACAATGGACGCCACGACTAAATGAACGTAAAATGCCATGAAATCTTAGATTAAAAAAGGCCATGTTTTTAACATAGGAGGTTGGCGGATTGAATGGGTTGGATGATTGTGGGCAATGTAACCCCAAGAAATCAGTTTTGCATTCAGTTATCATGGAACTTCCAAACGCATTGCTAACTTTTAACATTGTAAGCTAATAAGAGATCACACAATTACTAACAAATGGAAAATAACAAAAATACATCTGCTGGATATTCCCATATATTCTCTCATTTGCGATGAGCAGCCTTGAAGCAGTTTCTGTGTGGCACAAAGCAAAGGTGGATGTTGCATTTGTCACAGAATACATGTGTTTTCCCTGTGCAGTATGGCCTCTTGCATCTGGTGGCCTCTGTCTTCTCATCATAATTCGGCATGTGGTCAACCATATCATACTGCACTTCAGGTAGAGGCCTTGCATCCTGAACTCGTGGTCTGTGGGCACGCGGTTGTGGTTCTGGAGACATACTGGGTCTTCCACGTTTTGCTGCCACTGGTTTATGGACACTCACCAGACACTGGGCCACATTCATCTTGAAATGGAGGAGATCCAGGGTGTCTTTTGTCTGTAGATTGGCCCTCTTGGCATCCAGCCTGTACTCTAACCAACTGTTGACCACAGCTAGATCAAAAGCATGTGTAATCATTCTCAGGGTCCACTTTCTTGACCGAATTTCTGTGCGGTACAGACTAACAAGTTGATTGAGCAGGTCAACACCTACCATTGCTTCATTGTACAGCTTGACCACCTCCGGACGGGACACATTCAAAAATCTTCCCTGCTTTTCATCCCACCGCAGCACTTCATCCATTGTGCCGACACCAACAAAGTTGGAGGCCATGACGACTGATCTGCTGTCAAACCATTTGACCAGTGCGACCTTACCATCACAGCTTACAGCTTCATCGCAGCTTCCTCGCGGCATTTTTGCCATCACTTTGTCAGACTGTAGAGGAGGGTTGGCAAAGCGACAGACCCTTGCTGTTCCAGCGGCATGAATTTCCTTCTCAGCCAACAGCTCCAGAAGATTGTACGTCATGAAATAATTGTCAAAATGCAACTTGTGGTCGGCCTCTGTAATGCGCTGGCTGAGATGGTACACCACTCCAGCTCCAAGTCCTAGCTGCGTCTTAAACTGCTCTGACACTTCCATTGTAGCTCCTTGGTGCAGCAGGAAATCATAGGCCATGCCACTTTTCCCACACAGGAAGTATATTTTCACCCCCCAAGGGTGTGGCTTGCCTTTTACGTATTGCTTGACAGAGAGAGATCCACGAAATGGCACCATTTGTTCATCAACACAAAGGTTTTCCTCTAGTGGAAGCTCCAAGCATCTTCTGCGCATGGCATCATAGAGAGGACATACCTTATAAAACACATCATTGTTCTCTGCTGGCCTCTCCAAATTGTTGACCAAATGCAAATGTGACCGAAGCTGGAAGAATCTGTCACGGCACATGGTGTTTCGAAAAATACCAATGTCCATCCCGGCTTCCCAGTACATGGAGACTCTTGGCATTTTCATCACGCCCATAGCAAGGTGGAGACCAATGAGGGTTCTGATTTCCCCTGAACTGGTGGGTTTGAAACCTAGTGTGCCACTTTGCATGGCATAGATAGTTAAAAGTCATTTCTCCATTGTGATTGGATAATCAGGAACCAATCAGTAATAAGCATTATTCAAACAATGAAATCAGAGATTTTTTATTGGTTTAGACCCAGAAATATGTAATGTCCATTCCAATGAACGCCAGGTCTGAAGGGGTTAAGTTATTAAAGGGACATACACTGACATTTTACATTGGACCAACTTTCACCTTTTGTATCACTCGCAGTATTTCTCACAGTGAGTGTCATGGTGGATGCCCAAATCAACTATAATTTTATAAACAATACTGTTTTGTGTTTTGTGTGTACGGAATGTAGTTTTAAGAGGTTTTTTTTTTAGGCGAGAATGTAGTTGTTTAGATTTCAAATATGCGGTTTGTTAATAAAGATCAGGGGCGTAGATTACGCAGGGGACGCTGGGGACGTGTCCCCCCCACTTTTAATATCACGTAAATTCGTCCCCCGCACTTTTTCGGGCAAGTGTGTTCGCATAGAGGTTTTCAAGAGCCGGTGTGAATAAATATAGATTTAAATTCAAAGAGACAGGATAGTCTGTGCATGATCTGATGTTTTATTCGGACCCAGAATAAGGCGAGATGAACATCACGGAGCGCTAAATATTCCGTGCAGTTTATGTTTCATTCATACTCGAAGCCGGAGGGCGCTCTCCGCAGAAAGTCGTAAGATAATATCTATTTGAAAATTTGCTTGCACATAGACTCGTCTGCCAATTTTGCAGTGGTCAACTTGTCTTTATTCACCATAATAATCAATAAATATTCAAAGATGCCACAATCCTGCACAGCCGATGATTGTAAAAACCGCCAGGATTTAAATTCCGTAAAAAAAGGTATAACCTTTCTTAGGTGAGACTGCAAGAGAGGGGAGGAACCATAGATGTGTAAGGATTGTGGCATCTTCGAATATTCATTGACTGTGTCTCATTTCGAAGGCTGCATTTTCTGGAGGTCGCATCCTCTGAAGGATGCGTATATGGAGTGTCCTCAACCCAGAATTAAACGAGACGGCCTTAGTAGGACGGGCAGAAAAGGAAAGAGGAAGTATCACGTTGCTATGCCAACACATTTATAGCGTTGTTGCGCTCTCATGCTAGTTAATTGTACAATACCAAAGGGTTAAACAAATTAACAATTTCTCGCCTTGCTAGCAAAGAACTGTTCTCAACATTTAAAAATCACTAAACTCTTGTAATCCTGTTTACCACATCTACCAACTGAGGTAATACAACTTAAAAAAGAAGAACTTGAAAATACTTATATTTAAACACCACATCTTCACTTGTGTGTAACGTTACATCTGCCAGCGCCGCCATTTTTTTCAAATAAACAACGGTTGTTTACAGTGACGCAAAGAATTGTGGGTTATCTGTAGCAGCAAAGGATACACCTCATGCATCCTCCGAATTCCTGTGAAAGAAGGTTGCATTCGGAGTGTCCTACTTGCTTTTCTGAAATAAGACAGCCTCGATGACGTATGCAGCCTTCGAAATGAGACACAGCTCTTGATTATTATGGTGAATGACGTCAAGTTGACCCTTCCAATATGGCGGACGGCTTACATATAGCGACCCATAGAAACAGTCGCTAATGAGGCATCTACTTATGCAAATCTTATGGTTGTTCTAGCCGGATCCAGCTCGTGTTTACATTGTTAGGCATCTGTCAAATAAAGAGACATAAATTGCATCCCTCTGCCTCCATATTCTGCTGCCTAACAGTATATTACAACAACAAAGAAATCGCTTTTGCAGACATTCAAACTAATGTTTTATTGTGAAGACGAGATTGAGCTGAAGAATGAATGCTGTATAAGATGCAGGTAATCACACTCGCTCATTCCATCTATCTGATAATACTCTACATAATACAGTGAGCTTTTAATACAGTAATACAATAAGTTTTCAATGAAGCAACTCAACTTCACTTTTTAAGTAGTTCTAAAGTGATGTTTTAAAATTATTTCGGAGGCTTGGGCTCATCTGTTAAACGGTCAAACTGAGATTTGAATCCGTGGCGGAAGTATACAAAATGTTTTTTTTTTTTTTTAAAGACACTCCAAGGTTGTTTCTTATTTATTTACATACTTGTGCTGTCAAACTCTTGTATAAACACAATATCACACTGGTACCCATGTGATATCGCTCTATATCATAGCATAGCATAGTTATTTGTAGCATAGCAACGCCTACAAAAAGGCAACTTATTGAGAGGCTAACTTTAAGAAAATGAAGCTGTGTCATGAATAAGTGGTCATTCGCACCAACAGTAGGCTATTTTAAGTTTCTTTTTTTTCAATCGTGAATATCCACTCCATCAGCATTGTTTTGTTCTCTGTTGTTGTTTAACAGCTGTGAGCATGCTCTTGACGGATGTATTTTATCATTTTGTTGATTTTTGCTGTTTTCGTGCCATTTTTAAAATGTTTAAAACGCGTGACACCTTTGTTCTGCTCGGTGTTGCTGTCACTGATCGTTTGGTCCTCAAGTCTTAAAGACATGTGTAATAGTTACATACTGTCATGAGTCCGGGCCCTGCGTTTCTCCCTCTCACTACCAGAGGTCGCCATCTCCCGGCCTCCCGGACTCCATTCCCCAAACTCCACACACCTGTCACTTATTACACCCTCAGCTGTTCCTCATTGTCATGGACTATTTATACACTACACTCCCACCACTCTGGCTGGCTGAATTGTAATTGTAATTATTTGTTTGAAGTTTTGGTTGATGCAAGCTCTTGTGCCGTATTTGTATCCCTATCCTGTCATTCGGTTTGTAACCTGTTTTGTTTTTTTTGTCTGCCTTTCTGTTTATTAAATTTCTTTTCACCTGCATTTGGACCCATACCCTGTTTTTCCACGGTGTTCCCTTACCACACCGTGACCGAATTCAGCCAGCAAACATGGGTCCAGCAGGGAAACTCTTCAACATCCGTCAGGGAGACCAGAGTATTGAGGAGTACGCCAGGGACTTCTTTGGAGTGGCTCATCGGTTGCCTGCTCACAGTTCTCCCGAAGCGGCAATCCAAGGGGCGTCAGAGGCCTTGTCTGCTGCACCCAGTACCTCACGCCTGTTCCCGGAGCGTCCTGGGCTGATACGCAGCGTGCAGGAACCCCCGCTGATGTCGGTGCGAGCGGCGTGGTCTGCTCACAGCTCCCCTGAGGCGGTGGTGTCCGCTCACAAAGCTTCATTAGTGGCGTGTCCACTCACATATCTCTCGAGGCGCCGGTGTCCACTCACAGTTCAACCGAGGCGGCGGTATCCGCTCACAAAGCTCTAGAAGTGGCGGTGTCTACTGTTTTCAGTTACACTGAAAAAGTTTTAACATGGATTTCTATGGAGACCGGAACACGACAGCATCCTAACAGAAGTTAGAATCCATCATAGCGGTGCTCATCGGTTACTCAGGAAAAAGGTGGATATATATATTTTTAAAAGTTTGATGTATGACTGTATGACTCTCCAGTCCAAGACCATTGATTTAATCTCAGAGAAACTAAACTCTAAAATCAGAATCATGACCTTGTTAACATTTACATTTCAGCACCTAATTAGTAGTCAACAAAAGTTAGCCAATCACAACAAAGGTAATTAAAATATAGATGGTACAGTAACCATAGTAAAATGCCTATTTAATTCTAAGGGTCAAATATATTTTGAGGGTTTTCTAAGGGTTTCTAAGGGTTTTCATATAAAACTACTGGATGGTGACATGAGGAAGAGTAAGGGTAATAATATATAATTTTTTTTTCAGTGTAGTATGACTCTAGTTCTATCACAGGTTTTGGTAAATTGAATCTATGTATACTTTCATCTACACTGTAAGAAAAAGTACCAGGACATTTCTGTCAGTACTTTATCTGTTAAGTTTACAGAAGAATTTCCTTACCCTAAAACACAACACAATGCATGCCTAATTCAAAATACAAGTAAACTGAAAAAGATTTTCAGTGGAAAATCAATACTGAAAATACCTGCATAACACAGTACATTGGGCCCTATTTTTACAGACTTTTCTTAGAGTGTATAGAAGCTAATGTTGCAGAGTGACATTGTTCAGTAAGTTCATGCGCGATGTGCAGCACATGGGCTGAATGAATTTCTTTGTGGGTAGATCCGTTTCTGTGTCTCCTTTCTACTGCAAATGATAGAAGAGCATAACTGATCACATATATGGACCCCAAACCACAAAACTTTCATTTATTTATGACCCACATTCAAAGTGAATGATTGTTCTTGACTACATATGCAACTACAGTAGTTTCCTGAGAAACAGAAGTTATGGTAGTTAAAGAGCATTTTCTTCCTGGCTTAATTTCAAAAGTTACTGAAGCTCAGTTTGCATTTATAAAGTATGTTTATGACCAGACGGTCACATCATCCGGTCATATTGTTAGGACAAAACTAACCCTATTCAAAATTTGCGTGCCAGTCACAACTACATATATTAGGACAATACCGTATTGGCCCGAATATAAGACGACCCTGATTATAAGACGACCCCCCCTTTTTCCAGATGTACCTTTTGGAAAAAGGCGTTTTAAAAACCAAATCTTGTTTTTTCTCAGTAAAACACATTTTGTCTTCAATTATTTTCATATTGCATATTTTTCCTATTTTAATTTTTGTTTTGAAAGTATGGTAAAAACTGGTCAAATGTACCAACAATCACATTTAAAAAATATACACTTTTTGATATACCATTAAAAAAAAAAAAACAGGTAGCCCATCTGAATTAGGACATTTAGGCTATCCATCTAATAGTAGCCTACCAAAATCTTATTAAGAGTAGAAGTTAAATCTTACTGTAGTCTTCAAATCTGGGTACTGTCTTACGTTTTAAAATCACAAAGAGAGTTTGGTGCCATCAGGCTAACGTGACAGTCACGACTCATGCAGCTGTTTACTCGCGATCTTTACAACACGCATTACATTACGTATTTCATGGCACACTCGTTTTATGCGTATTTGGCGCCACCTAGTGT